TTTGCAGTACCAGGGATCGAACTCAGGACCTTGCACCACTGAGCTACCTCCCTGGCCCTTTGATGACATTCTTGTACCTAAGGAAATTTGTTTGAACACTGTGGAAGTGATAGAGCAGATACATTATATCTAACACACATCAGGATAAACAACAGTTCTAAAACAGGCTCATCATGGCTATCTAAAAGTCAGCCTCTTCCACCACTAGCGTTATTCACACTCCCTTTTAGGAAATAGTGGACTCATTCATCCCTCCTCCCTCTGTCCTTCCTTCTCCCACTCCTGCATCTCCAGTCCTCTGATGCCCATGCACCAGGCTGGGCACCCTCGCTCCCCTGCCCTCTTGCTTTACCACGTTTGATCTCCACCTGCCATCCGGGAACATGTCCCCACATCCCCATGCCCTGCTGCTGGAGCAGGAAGGAGGTGCCTGACCCATCCACAGGTGCCCATTGGTCCCTCACCCGGCAGGGCCCTCCTGGAGTTGCGTACAGGGAGCAGGATCCAGGGTCGGAGCCTAGTGGGCGATGCAGGCTGTGACCAGCAGGGGGCACTCACGAATCACCATTGGTTTCAAGCTCAGGCCGAGGCTTGGCTGGAAGGTCCGGATGTCTGCGGTGTTGCTGGTCGGGGGTTGGATAGACAAGGCTTGAGAGCGACTTTATGGATATAGAAGCCTCAAAGGGGGCTCTGTGCACCAAGGTTTTAAAAGAATTCTCTCCTTTACCATCAGTTAAATAATTATATCATTGGTGAAGGGCAAGGGTAGCCCGTGTATAGCTGCAAAGCCAGCTGTGAGATCCAGACAGTGTAACTGATGCCAAACCCACCCTCAGGCTCAACTCTGCTGGTTCTTTCCAGAGAGAAGGGCTGGGAGTGGATTGTAAGCCAGGGAGGCCTGGGGTCATCCCGATCCCATCTCCAGCCAGGAAGACCAAGGTGTGTGGCCTGGGCCTTCTCCAACCACCCTTCACTGGCCCCAGGCCTCAGTTTTCCCTTCTGTGAAACGGGACTGAAATCATCCCCACTGCTGTCTCTCTTGGCGGGCATGGCTGGGGGAGCAAGCTGTAAAAGCAGACCGAGGTTGAAACAAAAACAGGGGTGCCCAGAGCAGCACTTGCTCATCCCTCTCTGGCTGCCCCTTCTTCTTTGTTATTGGAGGGGGTTTGTGATCTGGGAGTGTCGCCTGTGCCTTCCTGGGGCTGTAATTAGGTGCAGTGGTGGCTCTTGTCTCATCCTCTGATGACTCTTGGCTTAATTGCTCTAATCTGTGTTTTCATGCATAGGGCTCCCTCTGCCTGGAAGAGGAGAGGAGGGAAAGGCTCCTCAGAGGGGAGAGATGAGGATCGAGCCAGGTGGTGTGGGGGCTTGGGTCAGGCACCTGCTGTGTGATGGAGGAGGAGACGGCAGACCCTGCTGGCCT